AAGTAATATATTTTCAACAATTCCTTTCTTTATTAAATAATTTCTTGAAATTTTTTCAAAACACTTGATTTTAATTTTATGTGAGTCATTATATGTTACTTTATTTAATTTTATTTTTTTTTATGCTACTTTATCATTTCCTCGCAAAAACAATTATATAGTTAATTACAGTTATATGTTTATGTCTATAAATAAATATTTTCTTCATTAGCTTTATACGTTAAAATTTAATTTTTCACAGGAATTATAAAATCTACAAAAGTCAAAAAATGCACTTATAAAGATCACCTCAGATTCTTCGACATACTCAATGTCATTCTCTTCGGCGCTCTTTGTTACTTTTACGAATCGACCTTGTTCGGGACTGCAGGTGATATCGCAAATCAATCGAAACATATTTTTTATGCAGGTCGTGCATCTGCTGAAAATACTCGCGGCAAGATTCATACTTCCATCCATCGTACTGATTTGCTCGGCCGAGCAGCATGTTTCTGGCGATTCTACTGGAGTTGTCACATTCCAATTAGCACGTGAGCGTTAATTTTTAATCGCGGAAGCGCAAAAATGTTGCTTGGCGATTTTCAATCGTTTCTTCAATGCAAAAGAATTCCTTAAATGAATAATCAAGATACAAACCATCGTTTTCGAAAAAATGCGGACATCTCTTTTGCAGAATTGCTTCGGCCTCCGTGTTGTTGATCGGTTGGGCCGTAATATTTTTTGCCACACAAGGCCGCGGAGGTATCAAATCTGATATTTGACCATACCAGGCACAATACTGCTCTTCCGCCGAGATCAAAACGATACATAAAGCGAACAGGAGACTGAACACTTCCGGTCGTTTCATTTCGCGAGTACAATCAAGGATCGTTATTGATCGAGAGATTTATTCTGAAAAGGATACTCGGTTCCCCAATAACAAGTCGATATTTCGTGACAAAACAACGAGAATTGGACTCGCAGTTTCTCGGGGATGTTATTTATTATGTTACACACGTCTATCATGCGATAGAGACACTTAATAAATGCTATCTCTCAACAATGCACTTTTTCAAATAAATCTTCATCTAGCTTGTATCTTCTCTTGCCTATATACAGTAAATCTTTTAAATTCGATTATATTAATCGTTTTAGCATAACAAATAGTGCGATTTCTTTGTTGTAATTTCGCTCGATTCTAACTTCGAACATCATTCACACGCGCGTTTCGTAGAAGATATATCACAATAAATATATAAACACATTACAAAATAATCTATGTAGTTTTATATTAATCACTATAATAGCTGCCTGCGAATAGCATACGATCTCGTTTACTTTTCTTCACAAATACGTTATACTTCTTGACACTTCGTAGATTTATTTGCAATCAATTTCTCGAAGTGTTGGTTATATTAATTCCGAAATATTTAAAGTTCATTGACGATGCGACAAAAAAAAGTAATTTATCGTTTGTATCACGAGATAATTATTTCGAGCCGTCACTATTCGCTCCCGGAGATCGAATAAACGACTATCCGGAATGATCGACAAACATACCAAAGAAAATCAATCATATCGGGCCATCTGATGTCCAATGGCTTATCGTACAGGTGAGAATTTGAAGAGTTCTCTTATCGATGGCGAAACGTAGTTTAGACGATAGGTATGAGATGTTGTGAGATCCTTTCAGTCATTTAATCAGGATTGAAATTAGAGAAATAGATACTGAGAAAATTTATCAAAATAGAACGTAACATACACATAATGTTCTTTCATACAAGTATTCTGTTACATATTTCAGAAATATATAGGATGTTTCAGGATTAAACGTTTTAATTTAAAATATACGAAAATTTTAATCCCAAAATAAGTCAACAAGTTTTTCTAAAAATATGTCCGCAAATGACTTTGTTTAAAAGATATTGATATCTTTCTTGATCTATTGAACACTTCCTTACTTATTTCCTAAATTTTTATATCTTAAATTATATTATTTTAAAAGACGTTTAATTATAAAATATTCATCCATTTTATTCCAAATTAGGCTAATATTAAAATCTTTGCGAGATTAAGATATATTTTTTTAAACACTCGAGAAATAAAGTAAAATTTCTCAATATATGTAGAAGATTTATGTAAGAGTTGCTTCTTGTATTTAATCAGCTTAATCATTTAGTTTACTCACCTGCAGTATTCTTACTAATCACAATTCAATCAGGGATTATCGAACACCTGCGTGCTATCGATATCTCATGGTTTATATTAAACAATGAGATAAAGTTTTTTTATATCTATTTGCACGTGTTGAGTAATGTTTGCGTCGAGAAACGAGACGGAGCAAAATATTGTAATGCATGCGGGAAGTATCTGAATTTTATCGACTCTTAAAAATTTTTCTCTTATTTTTTATTTGACAAAAAACGCGATTTATCAAGAAAAATTTAATATTTGTGAATTTAATTTTTAATGGATACTTGAAAAATATGTTTGCAATAATAATAATAATATAGCTTCATACAGCACGAAACGAATTAAATTTCCTTACAATGTTAATTGATAATTTGCTCGTGCATTTAAGTTATTCCAATGAATTAATTGATAATTGATAATAAATTGCATAGATAATGTCAGTGCGATAATTTCATACGAAACAATAGGAAATTCCGAAACGTCATTTGCATGTATTTGTCGTCGATAATGAAGGCAACAGAAAAAAAGAGGGTGAAAAATAAAGAAAGCGAGACGCGATCGCTTCCATAATGAATAATCATATTTTAATGGCTCAATGATTGTACAAATGGATCACTCTTAAACGTCTCCGCATACAACTGAGAAACAATAACAACAAATATAGCAATCATCGTAATCATAATATACATATTCATTATTAACGTATACCGTTTACGTAATAAGTAAGAAAACGTAAAGGGTTTTTCTTTTTTTATACTCTCTTGCTTACCATATATTTCCGCTCGCATACATACAATATTTAATCTTATTCTTGGTTCTCTCAAATCGTTTTACGATTTCACAATGCAAGGAAGAGATTCTTCTCTCACTCTCTCTCTCTCTCTCTCTCTCTCCCTCTCTCTCT